GAACCCTAACGACAATGACGAGGTAAAATCTTTAGGTGATGATGACTGCCGAATGCATGTGTTCTTTTAGACTGTTTAAACGAGATAATTAACTGCTTGAGACCACGCATGCAAATAGAGTAGCAGAATGGGTATGCTTTTCATTCAGCTTCCAAATCGTACTTCCTCCTGAGAAATTCTAACCGTGAGCAAGTCAAAATTCATAGTGCCGCGGAGTAGATTGTCTTCACGTCAAAGTAGCCAATGAGCGACAGCTGGTCACATTTGTTGAGATAACCCATATCAAAAGAGACGGTGTCTAGTAGCAGTGATAGTTGAAGGCGCTTAGATTTTCCGCCTGTAGTGCCATGTGCCTATGCTTGAGAATCGGTACACAGCGGAGATACTGAGTCTTTGAATCGTAACCATTCGCCGTTAGAGGAAATTATACTTTATTAAACCAGGCCTGGTCGCCAATTTTCTGTCTCTAATAACGGTATTTTTTCAGCATAGTTCCGATCTGAACATCCCAAGCTTGTGTTCCCGTCAAAAGCAACCACCAGAGATGCACAACGTATATCAAAGCCCAAAACCAGGTCAAAAACGTTTGTGCAGCGAGTCGTATATAAAGCGCATGCCGCGACAACGACTGGCGTTCCTAACGCCTTCTATTGGCTACCGGCATGCTGCAAATACCGGGCCATGACTGGTTGCTGGGTCCGGATTTCGACCAATTAGAACTCGCCTCGATGCCAGACCGGCAAGAAGCTCAAAATTTTGGCTAATCTTATGCGAGATGGGCTTTTGGCTGCAGAAGCTCTTTACTGCGGGCGGCGAATTCGAATTGGCGTGCAATTTTGACCAACAACTTCACGGTTTGTTACTCTATACACCCAAATCACCTCTGTAGCATTTTCAGCCGAGCTATTCGTTTTGCTGGGAGAAGCAAGCATCCGATGGCATCCGATGGGTTTCTCCATTTCCTCATTTTCGAAAATCACCACTTTTGTACTGCACTCCAGTTCCCTTGCCACAAGGACAGTGAGTGGTTAGATCAATATTAGGATGGACAATAACTAATCACGGGTAATGAAGTGAAATGCGGTATCATATTACGCAGGCATTACATTTGACGATGCTCTCAGTGCTAGTGATTTTCTAGAATCGCAATTTTTTCCTACTGAATGACGATCTCCTGTGAGATTGTTCACACGTAGACATGTAAAAGAGAATTTGGGGTTCAGGGTGTCTAAGTACTTGATTTTCGTCCGAACGAAAAATATTCTGGGAAATTTCGTACCATTTCTAAACATGTCTACCCCAATCATTTTCCTGTATGTCATCAATGGGAAGTGAGAGAGCAAAGATTTGTCTTCACTCCCGCAAACCTATGAACATTGCGCATCTTGATGTTTTCCGTTTTGTGATTCTATAAGGCAAAATGAACTCAATCCATCCCAATTACACAGAGCTTCTGTAGGTCTCGAAAGTGAGTTTCAGACTGATGGGTTGATAGATTATGGCAGATTTCTAGAGTAGCATTGTCGACGGTAGAATTTCGACAGGCCACTTATGTCACATCCAAATAGTGCAACTTCATTATCTATTTCTTATTACACCTTTGATTTCCCAATCGGCAAGTTTAACCAATCCCTTGTGCAATGTGAGCTGAATGAAAACGATTTACGATGGCTTGAAGTCTACAAGAACGTCCGTTACTCATTCATCTTTAGCAGCGTACCGCCGTTAGGATTTGAATGCCAGAGGTGTAGATAGACCAAAAATCACGTTGTTTACCTAGGGACTCATTAATATCAACTGTCAGTTTAAAACGTAAGTGACAACCGACAGGCTGTCTTTTTTCGGTGACAGCATGTGAACAGTGGCCTAGCAAATCACTCAGCGAACATCTTTCTCAGTTGAACAAGACCGCTGTCGGTAGTGTCAACGTCCAAACGACCTCAACGCTAGATATATGTTTGTGCATGGGTAGCATCGTTGCTGAATAACTTTACTTGGCCCTTCAGCTTTCACAGCCAGTTGTCGTGTGACTATTGCATTCCAGCGCACAATCTCGATGTGCACATGCAGTAAAAACGCCCTTTGCTAGTCATGTTACTCAGCTTTTATCGAGGAAAGGTTGTACCGGGTAGGCTTCACCGCTTTACGGTCGTGTACTTTTTATCGTACGTGAGCAAAATTATTTACACAGCTCTAACCATAAGAGCAGGGGATTAAAACTGGTGGAATGGAGCGCCGTGGTCCAAAGCATCCTATATCGCAATGATTTCTGATGACGGATCAAAGTGTGTTGCACCAACGTCGGAGCTCAGAGTCGAAGGTTGACGTTCTTCTGATCATGTCTACTTATTGTCCGTGAGTGGATGATTCGGTGAACCCCGAAGGTAGAAACAAACTATAGTGGCAGACGGCCAGACCACTTGAGAGATGCCCTATCTGTAGGTTGCTGGATGAGTTCCATGGTATCGATGTTCCCCGGGTCAGGTCGACGGCTATGATCTTCAGTGGCGAAACCGAGTTATTTTATCATCCTCATGAAAAAGTGACATACTTTCCGGCAGACTCTATAGCCATGCTCTTGAATATAACTGAGGACACAATCAGAATGTTGCTACAATTCATCGGCGTTGGAACATAGGAATGCTTGCCCGCTCAGATAGGCGGCAACTCCGGGGAAATCCTTCAGCGCCGTATCCGTGATTCGTCGAAATATATATGCCACCGATCGGCGGTTTAAACAGATTCACTCATAGGGCGTATTAAACGCCTGTGTGTAAACGAAATCTACCTGATGATTTGCTCCATAGCTCGCTGAACATTCGCACACCTCATCGCAATACGCTTTTGCACGATATTTTACCTAAAACTAACGCCCAGTCGCCTACTAGCCGTGATGCCCTCATCCTGGATGCCATTCCATTTCCATTGTCTCACTGACAGCCGTCATTTCATTTATATCCTCCGCGACTTGTCTTTCCGAGTGTCCGTTTGCTAATTGCTTGTTCGAATTGACTGAGCTGTTTTCACAGGATTTGGTTTCTCCCAGACCGAAAAAATGGTGGCCGGAGTAAGTTGTTCATGCACAAACCACATTTATGACTGCTCAGATGGTTTTTTACATTGCAAATCTGATTGTATGCACGAGGTATGAAAACCTCCTGTGGTAAACGCAAGGGTGATCTCTCTGTTATGTTGCGTCATGGTGCGTTCGTATACCCTCCGCCTCTCTCGTAGAACGGGCGCACCACCAATCGCCGTTGGCTCTGAAACTCACCCTTAAATTCAGGAAATTAAAAAGACTGCTGTCATCTGTTTGTTGCTACCTTGGGTGCGTCATTTATTTGCAAGCGTCGTAAACTAGTGATGAAAAAACTGGCCTTTTCTCTGTCAATAAACAATACACCTGGGACGGCCTAGAGCTATTCCGCGGTTCCCATGGCCTACATCGACGTACATTACTGTGGGTGCCTTTGACTGGAGAGAGGCTACACCGCAACGAAACCCATCTCGTCAACCAAACAAAAACACCCTTTCGCTGATCCAAGGTGTGAACACATTATATATATATATATACAGTGAGACTCCAAACTCTCAACTGCCAGCGTGCGCTCCTGGTGTCGAAAGTCCTTTTCGTTGCGCACCGCTCATAGAATAATGCTGATAGTAGTGCTTCGGGGCTGATTACAACCCCCCCCTTAGATTCATTTTCCCACTTAGATTTTCCTAGTAATGTCCAGCTCAATAATAGCCCTCAGGAAATTTGGTCCACCATCTCAGAATCTCAACCCCGACTATTCTTTCCCTGTTTCATTTCCTTCACTACGCCGCCTGTCTCCATACTTATATCAAACTCTCTCTGTCAGGTAGCACAATAGCATATATTGGCAAACAGCTCGACTTTGATGAATACACTAATTAATGCAAACACATCTTTATTTCGTCTCTTTTAACTACTTGTTGCCACCACATCGTGGCACACGTTTGCTTTTTCATAGCAAATGAATTTATCCTGTCTGATGTCGCCCTTAGCCATTCTGGATTTATCGATCCTATCTTATTTCCAAAACTTGACC